GAGAAAATTTACTCTGGGATGAAGCTTGAGTAATAATATTAGGGTCCAACTTCTCAATCCCCTCTTTCCTTACGATGCTGATTGCACTGGATACCACACTAACTGGTACCATAACATCCTCAGCAAGCACCAGTACATTACCGCCTCCAATTTGTCCGTCCTACAAAAGAATGAAAATCCAAATTCAAAACCAAACATACATACATGTTCAAAATAAGAACATACACCAATTTGCATGAATATTATCGAACCTTTACATCACAGAATTGACTCATCTCCTCCTAATCCAAAATAAGGGCACAAGGGCGGTTCTAGGGTTAGGCAAGTGATTTGGCCCCCCAAATATTTAAGGCGAAACACTATTATATTATTATACTCCCTTATTAAAAGTTGTACTCTTAAAAAGTTTGTGTGGTTATAAAAACTTTTTATTAAGGGGTAAAATGAAAAGTTTAAAGTTAAATTATTTTTAACTTTAAAAATATATCATTTATTTTGGAAGATACTAAAAAGAAAAGTATCTCATCTAATTTGAAACAGATTGGAAAATATGTCATAATTTATATTTATATAATTAGTAATAAAAGATTTCAAATTTTAATCATTTTTAACATTTGGTAAACGTAAAATTGAGTGAATTAATTGGATAAATTTTTCTCACTAAATTAAATAATATATTTACTTCTCATCAATTTTATTTTTTTTCTTTTATGTATAGTCTTTTTTTATGGTTCTCGCGATTTTACTTTCTAATTTCAACTCAAATTCTCTAAATTAACTATTTCTTTTTGTCATATTTTATTGATCCACACACCAAAAAGCAAGTTATTTTGCGTATCATCTTTTTTAACTAAGAAATACCTGAGACAAATGTCGCAAGGTTCAAAACACGATGAATAATGGGCTTACCCTTTACCATTTTCACTTAAGAAAAGAATTCAATACCATATGATGTGCGCTTAACTCATACATCATGAGTTGCGCTCTCACCAAAGTCACGTAGTTTTTTTTTTGTGTCTCAATGTTATATGAATTTTATAAAAGAAGTTTCAAGTTCTTTTTAATATATTTTGGTTTTAGGCCACCAGTTTTGTTGAGTCGCCCCTCATTGACGATCAATAATTATTTACAGACTACTGCCCCACCATGAACGTATTGTTCAACTAGTTTTATTCACATTTGGTAACTGAATGACATACTCACTATCTTTAATGTTATTATCATTGTTGCTTTATCTTAAGTGAGACTCTATAAATTTAATTGAGAATGTGAAGGGCGGACAAGTGGCTCTAGTAGGAGACTAGTACAGCCTTGATTTAGGTCCCCCAAAATTTTTAATAATGGATTTTATAATTTTATTTCAAATTAGACAATATTAATGTTTGTAGAAAAAATTTAAAAAGTACAAAAAACTTGTAAAAAGCAAAGAAAGGTGTCTACTCTTTAACAGTAAATTTTTTTTAAAACTTTGAATTAAACTACTTAAATCTTTATATTAGTAAATACATTTTTTACAACAATATCAAAGGTAACATATTGCAAATACATGTCTAACATCTCATTTATTTAAATTATCCTTTTCTAGTATAGATAATAATATTACCATGTGAAGTTAAAGAATTTATGTCATTTAAGAATATATACTATAAATAACAAGTATGAAAAAAATGGCAAGATTAATTTTTTTTGCATATATGTGTGTATACGTACTAATAAAAAAAAAGTATAAGGCCACTTATTAAAATTTGACTTTAGGCCACTAATTTTATAGAGCCTCCCTTGTAAGGGCAAAAAATGACCAAATTGCATATCTACCGAAATATTATAGTTAATCTTCAAGCGTTGTAAATTAAAACTATGATTTAATTCAATTTCATCTGCTCATTTATAGTATATGCTCCAGCAATATTGATTTAGCACCCAGGATAAACCAGCAACAATTAATTTCAGTTCAATTATAATGTGTGGCAGCCAAAGGTATAATTAAATTTCGGAAGAACAGGAAAAGGCATTGCAAGAAGCAAGAACCCACCATAGTGGTGAAGAAATCTATTTAAATCGGAGAATCTTCAGACGGTAGATGATCAGAGATTGGAGATCGAAATTCCACAGTGCCGGTGGGAAGTATAGAAACGACTCGGCCCCAGTTTTCTATTCAAATAATTTTTTTATTTTTAAATAGAGTCGGTCGGCTTGCCGCTATATCTACGTAACGGGCTGGGTTTGGGCCGACTTGGAGTAACTAGATAGGCAGGCTCTAAATGTATTTTGGACTATTAAAATGGTCAGTTTTTTACTACTATAATATGGAATTTTTTCTTTCCTATACATTATATGAAACATATTTAACTAAATTGTCCTAGTTTTAGAAATTACCCACCATAAACACGTTTTTCCTAAAAATATACAATCGTTTAAAATAGACTCCTTATTTCCGTGGACTTTCATTTTTAGACGCGCAATATCTAGGAGAGAATATATTTCAGTTACAAAATTTAGACGGTAAAATCTACAACGAACATAATACGCAATCATCGCCCCAATATTTGCAGAATCCTTCTCTAACGAAGATTTCCTCTGATTTTTCATAAACAAGGCAAGAAATTCAAAAAAAAAAAGTCTGAAGAAAATAATTGTAGATTAATGTGAAGTATTCACAATCAGCTTTGGATATATAGCTGATTTCTAAAGTTTTTATAGGTTTGCGAAATTATTTTCTCTACAATTGAATTAAATTTGGGGATGTAATGTCAAAATTGGCGATAATGCTTCAGCTCAATGGTCGGTGGGATAGATTCGGGAGATATATAGATTTTGATGTTGACGAAATTGTAGTCAATGAAGATTCAAATTATAGTCAATTGAATAACATAATTGCAGAGGACCTAATGATTAAAAATCATCGAGATCAAATACACAGGGAACGAACGTTGTTCTCCAATGAAAATTCGGAATGATATGGGTGTTCGAATGTATATGGAGACGAAAAAGAAAAACAAAAACCAAGGAATATATCTGATGTGTATAATTATCACGACCTGAAATTCCCACCTTCAGGACCGTGATGGCGCCTAACATTTCACTTGCTAGGTAAGCCAACATTAGAATAACTTTAACCATTTTTAAACAAATTAAATTAAACAGAAGTTCATTACTGAAATAAAGTACGGAAGGCCATAACAAACGAACCATCCAAATACATCCCCGAATCCGGTGTCACGAGTACACGACCTTCTAGAATAATATAAATAAGGGTCTGAATAAAATAAAGTTGTCTGAAAGAAAAGCACACAGCAAAAAAATAAAGTAGAAGGGGACTTCGGAACTGCGGACATTGTGCAATTATACCTCAAGTCTCCTCTGGGTAGCTGAAATCTGAGTAAGTCTATGGTATACCGCTGGGACCAACTCCAAAATCTGCACAAGAAGTGCATAGTGTAGTATGAGTACAACCGACCCATGTACTCTGTAAGTGCTGAGCCTACCCTCGACGAAGTAGTGACGAGGCTAAGGCATATCACTTACATTAACTTGTATGCAATAATAGTAATAACAACAATAATATAAATAAAACAAGTAACTTATTTCAACAGTTGAAGCCAACTCGACAGTCATAACCAACTATTATTTCAATAAATTTTCGTTGTGGCGTGCAACCCGCTCCAACAATATAAACTTAAAATATAATCTGTTGCGGCGTGCAACCCGATCCCCTAATATATTATTTTTTATTTCTGTTGCGGCGTACAACCCGCTTCAACCATATAATTTAATAAATCTTAAATATAATAAAAATACTCCAATAAATATCACATTCGGTAAGAAATTATTAGGTAACAATGCACACAATATTTATAAATTATTTAGGAATAAGTAATGACAAGTAGCAATTAATTGTGGAAATAGGCAATTTAATTTCTAATATACTAAATGTCAAGTAACAATTAAGTCACATAAGTCAAATAAACATGTAACAATTATAGCATGGATTCAAGGCATAATATTGAGCAAGGAATATGAGAGAAACAATTAATATAATAATTAATTCATGTCTTAAAATAATTTATGATTTCAAATAATTATGCAAACAATTAATTTGACGACGTATAGATACTCGTCACCTCGCCTATACGTCGTTCACATGAATTTCATATAACAAATCATTCAAGGGTTCTATTCCCTCAAGTCAAAGTTAACCACGATAGTTACCTCACTTCACAACCAAATTCAAGATTTCAATAAACCCTTGCCTCGCGAATTAGTGTCCGAAAGCCTCAAATCCCAATGTTTTCCCATGAAAATCGCCCAAAAATCGTCTTATCCGAGCTCAAAATTGTGAGAAGTGAAAAATGGGACGAAATCACATTCCCAGAACTTAAGTTCTGCCCAGTCATTTATCCTATGCGATCGCGGCCAAACTCCCACGATCGTGAAGCACAAAGATTTTTCCTGCGTTTTTTACTCTATGCGATCACGACCATTATCTCGCGATCGCGAAGAATAATTTTTCCAACAGCCTTCTCCAACTCTTCCTGAAAGTCTCTAGTATCATGGTCATAACTTTTGTACAAAATTCCAAATAACAAATGGTTTATATTTCTGAAAACTAGACACCAAGATCTACAACTTTCATGTTTTAGTTATCTACCAATTCCTTATAGATTTCGAGATATAAGCTGCCAAATTTAACCTTGTGCAACACAAATTACTTCTTCGCGATTTCCAAACATCTTCCCGGACAGCCTGTAGTGTACCAACCATAACGTTTTGTACATAACTTCAAATGCCAAATGGTTTGCTTTTTGAAAACTAGACACAAAGGGCTGCAACTTTCATTTTGGATCATCTTCAAATTTCTTATAGATTGCGAGATATAAGCTTCCAAAGTCGGGTCAGTGCAGTAGAAGTTTCCTCTACGCGATTGTGAAAGGTCATCCGCGATCGCGAAGCAATGGTCAGTTTCTCCCATTTTACTCATCGCTATCACGGCCAATTACCCGCTATCGCATAGCACACTGCTGTAGCCAAAAATTAACAGCTAAACATGGCCTAGAAATGGTCCGAAACTCACCCGAGCCCCTCGGGGCTCCAAACCAAACATGCACACAAGTCCAAAAATATCATACGAACTTGCTCGCGTGATCAAAATACCAAAATAACGCCTAGAACTACGAATCAGACCCCAAATCAAATGAAATTTTCAATAAAACTTTAAAACTTCTATTTTAACAACTGGACGTCTAAATCACGTCAAACCAGCTCCGTTTCTCACCAAATTTGACAGACAAGTCATAAATATATTAATGGAGCTATACCGGATTTCGTCACCAAAATACGGACCCGAT